GTGGCAAGATACCTTGCCGCTCGCACGCGAGGCGCAGTCTGCGCCTCTCTTGCGAGTGCGCTCTCTAATCATTCCTTAGCCTTGATAAGGACTCGAAGCCCCGCCTTCCAGCCCTCAATCCCGTTAATCAGAGAGCACATACAATACATACATGCAGCCAGGCGTGAAAATGCCCGGAAAACTTCATCCGCAAGGACAAACATCGAAATATGGCTCATCGTTAACGTGCTAAAGTGTAAACAAAAACTTCACGTAGTTTCCATGCAGAATTCTTCCTATTTCTAGCAGCTATGCTCCCGTGAGTCTTTCGACGAGCGCAAAGAAGATAATCGCTGAAGTTTACACCCACATTTTCTCTCTGTCTAAGTTTGCTAACTTTTCTAAATTTTTATTTTAGTCTTTAAAGAAAACTACAAACCACTTGCTGAGATGTGACTGTGCAGTTAGAGCCAAGTAATACGATAGCGGTCTAAAAACCCTTTACAAGCATAGTACAACTGTGAGAAATGCCATCCTTGCCCATGGTGCCTCCACGCCACTAGTAAGAAATGTGGCCCTCAAAAAGAGTCGACTGCGCAACGAGGTTCCTCTGTATTCCTTGAACTCTCTAGATCTTTCATTGTCAGTATCAATTTTTTCTTGGCGCCTATTCAGGAGTTATAGGGACTAATAAATAATAGCTAGTCACAAGTGCCTTTTTGGGCTTTATTGATTCCCTTAAGATTGTCTCGCGAGAAAAAGCATGAGAGCACTGCAGGAGTGTTACCAAAAATATGCTGAACGAAAAAAAGTTTATTTGATGAAAATAGATCTGAACTTCAAAGAAGTTGTGCTTGTTCAAGTTCAAGGATACATAAACCAAAACATGAAAAATAAGCCAACAGAATAGTTGGAAGAACTTACCTGAAGGGCTCTTTCGAATGGTATGTCGCTTGCCTTATATTTACGGTATAACAGCCAGAGATTGAGGGTTATCAAAAAATCCGGCCAGGGTCCTTCGAGGCGCCACGCAGAAAATTAATAAAGAGTGATCAGTGATTAGCTCCATATTGTTTTCTCGTCAGGGGGATCTGAAAGTGATGGGACAGCTTCATTTTGTCTCAATTTTGGAACTCATTTTGATGTTCAGACCAGGCACCAGCTAAAACGTCACATGTTTGAGTGACATCGCCTAACATATTGGCAACACGTACCTCTGCACTCCCAGAATCCTTGGGCGCCTCAAAGAATTGAAATGGGTTTATATCTCTTATAAATGCGCTGCTACCCCAAAGACAGGACACAAATACCATACCGTCTGAAAGAGCTCAACTCTTTCAAATAATCTATTACGTGCAGGATTCATTTATTTTTACAATTAAGAGCAGAAAGCTTGAGGAATGCGACTTTTGACTTAACAAGAAACCAAAGTCATGTTTCACTCTTTAATTTCCAAAAATAGAAGAAAACCGAGAGAACATGCACATAAATGGATAGCGCTTAAAACTTTAATGAATTGTCCAAAATGTGAGCTCATAAGCAAGCAAATGAGTAAAAAGCATTTCATTACCCGGATGCTCACCATTACCTCTCCTGACATAAAGCTTCGGTATGTTAAGCTGTTGCATTTTGTGGCAGTCTATTCAAGCGTAGCACTGATACTTGGTCGACCTCTATGTGTCCTAATGCGGAGATACTGCTCATGATTCGTGATTGTCTAAGATGAAATCGCGTTTCCGCAGTTATAGAAATTACTACACATGCAAATGACCCTATATAGGTTCTTGAAATTTGCTTTTCTATCAAAATTTAAGCTTCCAGTGAATTCCCTTTTTTGAAGAAGCTGCAATAAGCCACAGTCACTCTGATAGTTGAAGCGTTGCCAACTCTACGAAAACCTCAACAGAGTTGGCATGAAAGCGAGAGAGAAAGAGAGATCAATGACTAGTTAGTGTGCACAATTGAAATTCCCGTATTTACTGTCAACTTACCTTTTATTACCACACACTACCGTATTAGAATTGTCGCGTAAACTGCTGACAAATAGCTTTTATGTGCAATGCAATTAACATCAGAAAATTAGCTATATAAACTGTTTTCGCTAATATATTAAACGTGCAAAAGTTTCGTCAACTTTAAAATAGCTCGCATACAGTAAAGATAAACAATTTTTAAGCATATGCGATACAATGGGGTTCGTTTTCATCACTTCTGTCACTAGTTTTCAGATTTTTTATTTGAGACTTTTAAGGTCTAATAGGCACTTGATAGACAAACCGTTTGCAGCTCAATACAATCTTTTGTAGCCCTGTGGCTTGTCATTTGCAGTTTAAAAAGTAAAATATTCTAAGAAACCAAACGTTATATTCGGCCTATTCTAACCCCGTAGAACATGAAATGGTAAACATTTCAAATACCATTTGAAGCGACTTTCTCCACTTTTTCTAACATATGTTTTTCGGCGAGAATGGCGACATCTGCAGGGAAAATCGAAGTATTTCTCAATGTTACGAGATAAGCACTGCCGTACCCTAAATTACAAAACCCTCATATAAAAATTTTGAAGCGAGAGCAATACAAATTTCAGAACCTCAGTATTCTGAGAATTTTGCAATATTTGGTGCAACAATGTGTTTTGCGGCATTTCCAAAATAACACTTCCGGGAAATTCTTAGCAAGTTTTGAAGAGAAGATGAGAATCTGAAGGAATGTTTTAATTGACAGAAATGTCGGGCTATTTCTTGGCTATCCCAAATGATGATTTTGAAAACTGGTGAAATTACGACACGCTAAAAATGAAGGGTCTCAAGTTTTGACGATTTCAGCGCTTTTCAGAAGAACTACGTTTGAAACCTAGGGCAATCAGCATTGGGAGCAGCTGCTAAAAAAACTCTTCATTGGCCATCTAAGTTATTGTACATCTCCACTCTACCGTATTTGCGGATGGGTTGAAAAACTGACAAAAGCCTTGCACCGACCAAATAAATGAAGTCAATAGATTCCAAGTTTCCTCTTTACTTAACCTCGGCATTGTTAGTATATTGTGAGTAGATTAGTAAACCAATCGAGGTTAGTATTTATTAGTAAGTGGCGGCCTAAGATTTCGAGCTATTCGTCTTCTTCAAAGGCCTAAAGTGGTAAGAGATTTATGATTTTATGTCTACCCCACCAAAAACCTCCTCCATCCCTGGCTAGCCTCGACGTTGCCCCAGAATGCTACAAACAAAAAGTCCACAACGTGAAAGACGAACTAACCTCACCACCGCCGGCGCGCAGATGTTGAAAGCAGCCGTCCTTCAGTGCCACTGATACCAATAATGGAATACACTGTATACCATATTCAAACTAATCAGTGGCCTTCTTCAACCCACATAACGTCACGAACGGCATAAAGTCATTTGTGATTGACATACACTCATTTAGGCTGTTCATGCTATTATTTCTTGCGAAAATCCAGAATGCCTCGAGAGCCATTCTAACGGCAGTATCGTATTCGTATGCCAGTATTACACATCTGATCTCGAAGTTTACCGAGAGAGTGGTAAGGCTTCCTCGCCTTTTGCTGGCAAAATGTTCTTTTATCCTTACTCCCAACGGTCTCCCAGTCTCTCCGATATAAGTGGCACTGCACCCAATACATTCGATCTGATAGATTACACCTGTCTTACCGCAGTCACCAACTTTGCCGGATGGACAAACTACGCAGTCTTGGATTCTGCAGTAGTTATAGTACAGCCCGTTACGTACTAACCGCTTCCTGATGTTATCACTTGGAACGTCAATCAAAATGACATCGTTTTCGAGGTTCGCGTGTTTAATGCATCTTCGCACTATAGCACTAGTCGCGTCAGAGACGAAAGGAAGAAAGAGAGTTAATTTCTGTCGGTACAGGTTGCTGTTGATGGTAATAGATGGTCCACCACGTCCTTTTAGGAACGTCTAGCCATTCATACGAGCAATATCCAGCGCCCATCTCTGCAACTCTTTCCGTTCTTCTACTCCTGTGCATACATTTTGCTGTTTCGAGCATGTTACGAATAACAGCTCTTCTGACAGTGATCGGATGTGCAGAGCGAGCATTAATCAAGATGTTCTTGGAACTCTCTTTGCGATACCATTTTACATTCGCAGTGCCGTTAAACAGCTGATCTGTACGTTGAGATAAGGAAGCCAACCATTTTTCGGTTGCTGCCGTTCAAACTTTATGTACTGTGACTGTTGGTTGAGTAATCGGAAACACTCACCCATTTCGGATTGTGTTGATGTTATAACGAAACAGTCGTCTATGTAACACAGTACATTAGAGGTAGACGCGACAGCACTGGTTCTTCTATTCCACTCACAAAGCAGATCGCAAGTACTGGAGCAAGTCTTTGTCCCATCGCAAGACCTCTCAGCTGGGTATAGTATGTCCCTGACCATTTGAAGGTGTTCTAAGAGAGGCACTCTTTGATCAGGAGCATAACCGATCGTTTACTCAGACCGAAAGTCTGGATCTACTCACCAAAGTTACTCAACATTTTCGAAACTGCCTGTAGAGCGTCGTCGTTTTGACGTTAGTACAATGACACTACGTCAAAAGATTCAGCTACACATTGCGTTTGCAAATTTGTGTTACGTAGGCGTTCCAGGAAATAATTCGTGTTGGCTAAATGAGACGGGACTTAGCTAGCGAATAGCTCGAAACGTTAGACCGCCACTTACTAATAAATACTAACCTCGATTGGCTTACTAATCTACTCACAAACCAATTTTGATTCTCCCTGCTCATTGCTAGAGAAAAGCGAGATCAAGATAGCAATGTTTATACATAAAGTCATATAGCACTAATATGTACACAAACTGCTGTCAGCTTTCACCTCGCTGATTCTTCAATGCATGCTATACAACGTATCGAGGTCACTGTCATCGCAAAATTGGCATTCTGTGCTGCGATTGGCTACTACCACCTAATAAGTGAGAGATTCAAATGTGATATCATTTGCTGAGAAAATCAAACTAACTAATCTAATCGTAAGCTATCAACAACAAGAAACTATCTTCGAAGGAAACCGCAATTTAGCAAAATCGGCCTTATCAAACTCCGACGACATATAAACCGGGAAATATTCAGGTAGATCCAGTCGAGGTACTGTATCAGACGGCAGCACAGCCAGACTCATTGTTAGACATTTGAAATCACGTATCTGTGACAGCGGAAAGAGCAGGATCGTAGAGATGCATAGATACTCCTGAAGTGCTTCTGAGATCGACACTAAAAATAGTAATCATCCTGGAAGTTTTAACGCATGGAACAATGAAAGTTTTGCAAATTCCTTGAAGGAAAAGCGGTCTGACGATGTGATTTTTCGGATTTTATGCTTGAAGGAGGCTGCTCCATTTCCAGGAGCTTCACAGCACAATTTTAGGTTAAACATGATCAAATGGTGTAGCAAACTGAAATCGCGAATTTATCGCACTGGCTTTAAGTAAGTGAAATCCCGCTGCTACTGATTTTTCGCCCCAAAAAATGTCGTAAAAGGTCTTCTGCTAGATGGAAAATAGGTGTAATTACTTGTTTGAGAATATGCTGCTTTTTACAAAATAACCGTGTGCTATACACATCAAACATTCACGAAATGCAGTTGATTTGGGTGGGAAAGGCTAATCTTGACGAAATCGTCGCGACCCTGTAACTTGGTTCAAAATGATAATCACAAGATACGACGGCGATTTCTGGAGAGCATTGATACAAAAATTCGAAAAACTATCAAATGTTCCGTAATCCGCGATGCAGCGAAACCTTCGCACCACACAATTTTTCTGCTCAGATAGATTTCTTTCATTTCCGGTCAATGTTTCGACAATTACCGGTCTATTGTCTCTCTAAAAGTACAACTGAGAATATAAAAAATTCAATTTCTGTTGGATCCGAAGCATGCGACGGTTTTATCGCTATTTTTTCGTCGCGACGATTCAGTGTACCCTTTCAACGAATGCAAATGTAGAACTTATGGTTTTCCGAATGCATGTATCACTGGCTTTCTAAAAATGACCATCCGATTCCGTAAAATTTATTATGAGCCAAGTTGAGTTCCAATGGCTTTGTTAAATTTAATATGCCGCAAACCTTTTTTCCCTGAGTTAGGGACTGCATTGTATAGTAACACTTACTTCATTTACTTCGCGTACAGAAATCAAACAAAACACTCAGGATTTTCTTTTCTCACGTCTACGATTTGCTAGGACCTTAAGTTATTCCAAATGAGGCTATCATCAACCACGAGCGAGCACGTATGTCAACAAGCGTTCATTCTTTTCTATGACATTACTGATCAAGTCCTAAATAAGTACATAACTACTAGTAGCCCATGTTAGCGCTTCTGTACACTTTTCTGAATGGAGCTGACATCTCTTCCATTCTCACCTCTTGATCCCTTTTGATTTTTTGTGATCTTTTCCTATGTGATTGCCCTATTGTTAAAATTATATAGAAGTTACCGTGAGTATGACAAGTCTTGAAATGGAGGTAGGCATCATGTGTAGAGCAGACAGAACGTGCACAAATGGCAAATATAACTAGAACGATCAGTCGGAAGCAGAACAATGCGTTTGCAGCCTAAACAAACAAAGGATAGGGGATTTTGCTAGAATGTCGAGTTTATGAGGCGCGGGAACATCTGAAGTTTTTTGGTCGAAAAATATACATGATTTTGATGTCTATTCAAACAGTATAATAGCGTCCAGATTTGGAGATTTATCGCTGGTAATGATGGCCTTCAAAAGCATAGCTGAAAAGCTGCGTTTCTATTTGTAATCACGACACAATTACATATCTTGTTTGGTGTTGTCACGATAGATGACAGCTTTTTCTTGCTTGCCGAAAAGTACTCCTAGCATCCTAATCACAAGCACAACACGCAACTTTTTCAATTTTTCAAGCAAGCAGCTCGGCCGCACTAGTGGATACTTAGTAATCGCTCTCCCACACAATTCTTTCAGGTAAGGAGCAGCACGGTAGAAAGTCCTTTGGTAGCAAAATTTTTAGTGTGTACAAGCCGGTTGATTTAGAAGAAAAGGCGCGTCTTTAACCCGTGAAACAAGGGCAAATTTTATAATTTTCTAGATTTTTTTTCATGCTTATGGTGCGCGTGTGAGTCATTAGTTCGGTTCAGTTCATATTCGTGGAAACATTTTCGTGAGGTACTTTTCTACGTAGACATTATTGTTGTGTAAGATGTTTGTCGATTAAAATCCTCGGCGATGTACATTTGAGGAGCATACATCGTTTTTTTTGTTCCTTTTTACCTTTTTATCTGGGGGTTCCTAATTTCTTTACTCTCGTAAGACATTTTTGGGTTCCACTGCGTTAAAGATCCGAAAGGCTGTGGAGGCATGAACGTGCTATGTACTCCGCAAGAGTTTGATGCTAGGGCTCACTCCGCTAGCACACTCCTTCGTTTCTCTTTCCTTATGTATAAACATATCATCTATTCTAGCAACATCCAACAGGATGATTGCGACTTGTCGCAATAGAAAGAGCCAGCACAAGAGCATGATTCATTGGTGAAGCACTATATATGAAATTAGTGACTTTTTCTGTTTATCCATGGTAACGCTAAATTTTTGGCATGCGCTCCAAATCGTTTGTTTTGTAAAGCTAAATGTATACTAAACGCTGTATATTCCTGTCACAAATTACTGTGGAACAGGGAAAAACGATAGAGCTACCTACCTTTGCCTGAGGCTTGAAAGCCTCTGTGAAAGAATATATGAATCCTTGGGTGAAAAACAGCACAGAAAATATGTGTAGGCTGTAACGTATCAGCAACCCCACTGAAAAACGTGGGAGCAATTGACCTTGGAGATTTATATGACAGTCATATCATATGTCAGATCATAATACTTTTTGAGAATCGGAAGCTTTGATAAGCACCCCTAACCCGTTCCTGTTTTAGTTCTGTGATTTAAACATTAGCAGCGCGACCGCTCCGCTTCAAAGCCATCGTCACCAGTTGTCTCAAATAAGCTGGATTTAGGAGATTATCCAGTCTTATTTCTGGGGCAAAAATCAACTAGCACAATCAGTTGATCACCATTTATACTGTCAGCATTACATAAGAAATTGCTAAGACTTTCGGAGACTCATTAAGACTAATTTAAAAATGCTCGAAAGACTTCTATCTGTATAGAAGTTGTATTTAGTATGGTAATATTTTGCATTATAAGGGTTTAACACGTTTCGGACTCATTAAGACTAATTTAAAAATGCTCGAAAGACTTCTATCTGTATAGAAGTTGTATTTAGTATGGTAATATTTTGCATTATAAGGGTTTAACACGTTTCGGACTGGTGCTGCACATGGTGCAGCACGCTGCTTTGAGGGATCTTTCTGGCGTTTGCAGAAGGTTTCCTTTTAGTCTGAAGTTGTTAAGTTAAAGATCTAACCTCCTACTTTTCAAATGACTCTGTATAGTTGTGCCGCCGATATTTGTTTAGGAGATATGAGCACAAATCGAACAACAGTTGCAACGAAGTGCGGCGACGCGAACGACGCGTGCGACGTCGCAATTTTCCTTTGCTTTGATATCAAGGACAAAAACCGTAGTTTTGATACTGATGTATACCGTGTCCAACATAGATACTTTTGAATACTATTAGAATCTGAGTTCTTGTTCCTATCTTTCAAGAAAGCACAAAAGTCCCTCTCAAGCGACAAAATTCAAACACTTCGATTTCACTCAGAACTTTGGATATGGAGCTTATCTGACATGCTGATTACAAATGTGGCCCATAGGCTGCGAAATAAGGTTCCTTTGTAGGCTAACGGCTGAAAGTACACTCTTTTTCGCCGCGCGCGATTTCGCGGTCCGAAACGTGTTAAATTGTGCGCACTGTTTGATTTTCATAAACTCTCATGCGCCAACGTTTTTTACCAATGTAAGTGCCATTCTGTAGAGTTGGCTTCAACTCAAAATCATAGTATGGAGGGAACCTCTCCGATCTGCCATCGTTACTGCAGGGTTGCTTTGAAGAGGGATCTCGATTGAAAGTTGCCTTCTGTCTCATAAAAGAAATCAAGCAAGGTAAAAACTCTTTCACTGGGCTGAATAAAGTCGCTGATTTCAAATATGAAAATTTGCACGCAGAGTAGGGTTTCTTCCAAGAGTTATTTCAAGTAAATTGTGGCAACCGATTTCCTAAGGTTCTTTGAAATTGTGTGTACCTGAAAATCGACAAAAGACTTTCAAACAAGACAGTGTTAACGATCAAGACGTCTGACATTTTCTGGACGCGCTGTAAATTAGAACTCTTGTTTTCTAAACCAGATCAAAAATTGAAAATAGAAAGTGAGGAAAACTATTCGCAGAGATCCTCCGGTCATTCTGACTTGTCTTAGCTTAGTTGGAAAGAGTTAGTCATAAAACCATCTGCAAAAAATGAAATCAGATTTTGCTGAACTTTTTAGCTCTTTTATTGACCGAAATCAAAGGAAGAATACGATTCAGTAGTTTGCATTTATTGAGTTGTGATACGCTTGAACGGTAAGCATGATTCCTCTCATTACATTGTCGCATTTGAGCTAGAAAATATCAGAAATTTCCAAGAATTTTGGTGCAACATATGTTCTGCTACTTAGCTCCCGTAAAGATTTTTGACTAGATTACATTTGGAAAATTGATCTAGTCATTATAGCCTTTCGGCGATACCACTTACTAGTTTTGTCCTGGTCTTGCTGCAAGCATAAGACAAGCATTAGCGTGGTTGATGCTGCCAACTCTATTATCGGAGACACGTAAGGAATGTACGAAAGCAGCTTGGATCCTCCCGATAGCGCGTAGCTAGCTTTCGATCTTATCATGTAAAGAACCATCTGAAATTATGCCTGCTGAATGCTTTGTGTGCAAAATGGAAAGAGTGATGATTCACCTTAATGTTGAATCCTGCGAGAATGATCATTCGGAGGCATGCTTGGGGTTCAATTTTGATCTCCAGGACACGTAGCAGTGAAGGGAGAGTTCTTGGAGGTTGCTTCCTGAGCTATAAAAATTTCACATTAGTACCTTCCCCACTTTTTTTCCTCTAGCCTGAATAGGGGCTGATTCACTCGGTAAAAAGCTATCATTATCGCGCAGCTATGACTGGAAAATAAGCTCAAACTACCCACTGACCTCGCAGAAATTGAAATAGGTGGTTCCAAAATCGTAGCGAATTTGTGTCTTATTGTAAACCAAGTACAGCGGATGACTTGGTTGTAACGACTCTATGACTTCACTGAAGTAGAGTGTCCCGTTCCGTAACTTGGACCGCTGTTCCATCACCCATTCGCTAGAAAGGTACTCATCAATATTGAGAAAAGAAGAATTGCTAAGTTTCATTTTGTTTTATGTAAGGGTATTGAAATGTTTTCTTGTATGAAAGGGATTATCGGCTGGAGAAAGCGTCGGAATGAAGAATCCACTCAGGTTTTTCTTGCGCCCAGCGACAGGAAAAAAGCCAAATCCTCTACCTTCTCCACTTTTCAAATAAATTTTATACGGCATGTTATTATTTTGTGTTAGCACAGGTTTTTAAGCTGTAGGAAGGAAGAATTCGACTGAAGCAGTCACAGAATCCTCTATCCTCATTGGACAATGTGATTGAGCTGCAGCCTTTCGCCAAATTTGTGAAAAAGAAACAAGCGGGGCGTCTCAAAACTAGAACAAATTCAGTCTCTATACGCATATGTTTGCAGGTAATAATCCCCGAGGAGTAATCTTATATCATTTCGTCCCCAATTTTTTTGCTTTCTCTCAAACGATCCCTGACTCTCACAGAGAAGCAACCAACGAACTACTTGCGCATCATTCACTTTCCAATTTTTTAACAGGTGCGACATTCGATCCATGCAGCCTTCGTGATTTCATCGTTATAACTCACTGAAAAAAGTTGTGAATGCGCCTAAATCCTTTAATTTAATAAATCTTTTATTGTATTTTTGACAAAGAACAAGAGGCAGACATGTAGAGTAGAATCTCTGCCGCGTCTTTCTTGTGTTCGATTGACTTCTATTTTCGCAGCATCCAAACACACGAAGCGAAAGTCGTATGGAAGTTATCGGTTGCTTTGTGATTTGATTATTTTTTGCGCTCCCCGCCACGGATATAATCGAAGTGACATAAGAGGCATTTTGACGTAAAGTTTACGATGACAAATGCTGCAGCAAATGTTGCGCTTTATCATACTAACCAATTGCTGCTCTATTTTCGTTAATCCCAAAAAAAAGAAATAAAGCCATTTCGAACTAGAAAAATTCATGCCTATTCAAAATCAGTTATTGCCTTTATTCTTCTTACATCAATGTGGATTTGCTTCAGGAGTGTGACGAAAAGAAGCCTGTCAAGAGGCACATTTCAGATGATTGATAGCATGTTGCTTTTATGGATTTCATTGACATGCTGCAGATTTTGACGGAAAAGCGATATTGTGCCAGTTTAACAAAACTTAGATAATTCCTCGTTTTCCTCTGTACAACTGCGAGAATTGACCTTCCAATCTGCTCTATAGCTTTTTTATGGAAAATAAGATCCAATCCGATAGCTATAAGTTGGAGAGTATTTTTATACCGCTCTTTCTCAACCATAGAAGATAACAGCAAACGACGTCATTAGTGGCCGGCCACACCTTTCAACGATGGTTTTCGTTTCGTGTTACCTCTAGCGGTAACAGCAGCGATTCAAACTCTATCACGATTACAAGACGCACGGTCTCACGAATGATTGTTCTCCCATACAATTCTCTTAGGTAAGGAGCATCGTGTTACAATGAAATTGGCGTTCTGAAAAGCACTGTTTTACAAAAATGTTTGTAACGGTGCAAAGCATAACTTATCTGTTACACATATCGTCTTCTTCGTAGTAAATGCTTACCCTTGCTTTGCGTCTGCGGCATGCGACACGTATGGCTAACATGTGCAACATGCAAAACATGTTAGTATTTAGCAGCGTACACCCAAAATCCAGGTTACCCAATTCTCTATACCGTGTATATCTAGGGCCCAGAAGAAGACCAATTGCGTTGGTCCGGTCTCCCAATGTTGCTCTGAACGGAAAAAATCCGCCTGATTTTCTTTTCATTCCGCCTCCTTCGGACGAAATCCACGTTAGCGTAAGCTGCAGTTGCTGTTGCAATGCTGTTGCAACTGCAACTGCAGTTGCAACAGTGCAGTTGCTTTCACGGTCCGCCTCCTTCTTACGCTCCAGTTGCATATGCAACTGCAGGCTGTAATGCAGTTGCACCTGTTCCTTGCTGGCATGCCGACGGGGTCGAGCAACGAAACTCGTTCTCTCTTTGAAGAGAGGGTCCCCGGGATTTTTTGGGACTTTTGGAGGATTTTAATGTCATACCTGTAATCAGGGACATGGAAAGGCCCCAGAATGACAAAAACATCGAAGGCGAAATTTTAGGTGTACGCTGCCTTAAAGCTAACAGCCATAAAGGCTACTGCATGACGAAGGCGCAGAAGCAGCATTAGTTGAGCGGCGCGAACGCAAAGTGCGCACATCTTCACCGTTGTACATCCTGCGCCTAATGCGGTCTGCTGCTAATAAAGCCGCGTTCGCGCCCACGGATATTGCGCCTTTCTCATGCAGCGCCTATAACCTGGGCCCGGCACACATGGTTCGGGGTCAAACTGGACTCCGTTTTTGAAGTTAGAAGCAACGGGGATGTCGTTTTTATAAGGTGCTGGGGGATGCTCCGATAAAAAAAGACGACGAACATGTCAGGTTATACGAATTGAACGTGTTATTTCGCAAGCGCGCGAATTTTAAACGCAAGACTCAAACAACGAACGGCTTGTTTACAGCGCACAAACAATCACATGGCTCCGAATTTGGGCTATGTGTATACAACATTACTCCAAATTATGTTATGTAAAAACTTCCCGAAATTTATGTGTCCTAATATCCGTTCCCGAATTTGTTGGTTTCTAGACCAACACCAAACCAACTGGGTTGCTTCGGAGCATAAATATCGGAGAGTTCACATAAGTTTTGGCTCTTTCTGATTTGGACAATTAGAACGGTCAAAAATCTATCATAAAGTGAAGAGAGCGAATCAAACTATTGCCTCTCCTCTTTTTTTTTTGAGCCAAAAGTAGTGTAAATCTATGCGTTGATAGATATTGCGCTCCAACCACACGCGGTGTCTTCTAACTATGTGGCGAAAAATGCATCGTCAGATTGTTGAGGCCATAGATTCGGTTGGCCAAGGAGGTTTTCAACATTCTGAGCACTAAAATGGTACCCTACCCAATGACAGAGCCTTTAGTCAACTCGAAATGTTTTCTTTTTGCTTTTTTGTTATATTAGGTACCTCAAAATGCTGTCTTTTCGCTTTTTATTGTTATTTTGATTGAATAAGGGTTTCCCTACTGATTTTTACGTCAAAAAGGACTTCGTAAGTTTTCGCGAAGTCATGGGGGACTTCGTTTCCAAAAATGCCCCAAACCAACGCGTGCCGAGTCCTGCCTATAACGCTTTGCTAGCAACTTGTTTTATGTTGCCAACTTGTTAGCCAATACGTACCGCGGGGTAGAGACGCTGAGCAAGGGTGTAGCAATTGTGGAGGGGATAAACCCCAGAGTTTATGACAGGCGAAAATTCGTTGATGCGTTCTCTCATTCTAAGAGTATAGGACTCACTCGCATTGGCGTTTAGCGAGGAGCGTCCATTCAAGACGCCAATAATATCGTTTTCCAACTTTACGAAACTTTTAAGTCCTGTGGAGAAGTTACAGACCCCTGGATCTACAGATTTTGCCCTGTACACAGTGAAACGAATGCAAGTAATGATGCATCGTTGATATATACGCTGATAAGGTAGTTGGGACAACAGATGGCTTTCAGCAATACAGTACGATGTTGTCTCGCGCGAACCCATCGTCTGCGTTCTTTGCAAATTTTCTAATCTTATCTGAAAATCGCTCCAAATAGAGAAAATCAGTAGTTTTCGTTATGATTTCCACATTTCTACCGCAGTATTGAATGATGCATAATTACTCGTACTCGCCTGTACACAAATATGTTAACGCAGGGATCCACAACTTCTCTCACAGGAACCGTTTTGCATATTGGGGAAGATATGTTATCAGTGTCTCAAACGGACCTTAAAGGCACCGTGCACCCAGATTCCCGACTTCCATGTTTATAGTTCCGGAGACTTCCCCGGAAGACCCGCAAGCCGACTTTTCGGAATGGTGGGTGGGCGCGCACGGATGGGTGGGCATTACTGGAGGGGGCGGTGCTGACTTGGGATCTTCGTGTGTCTTCGCTATTTCGAAGCGATTTTCCAGCTTCCGAAGCGACATTTTGCGCCGCAGCTTGGAATTGGCTTGATAGGGGGTCCTACTATATAAGCTGCCAAAAGTTCAATACCCTTAACTTGGGATGGACGTTGCCTTCAATGATGGACATCTCCATGGTGAACGTCAGCACGACTCGGTATCCCTTCTTTGAAGCGAGCGTAAATAAAGAATACACCTCGTTAACTTTTTGAGCGGCCCAACCACTTTAGGCAATCTACGATATCTGCGAAGATTCCTAGGAATCGTAATGTATGAAGCACTTTTTGTCACATTTGATAAAACGCAAAGTTTGGCCGTGAAATTAGGCTGCTTGGTGTGGGACACTTTAAGCATGCGCTATGGTGTCTTCTTTGTCCACTTTATTTGTCTCATATTATCGGCGCCGCACTGAACGATATGGCTTATATGGCGTCATTTCAAGGCTTAAGGCATATCCTCAAGCATACCTTCGATGGTCTAGAGACAGGGCCCTGAAAGTGAAGGTTATTGATTATCTGCTCCCCCCCCCCCATAAAAAGTGAAGCTGATTCTTTTTTAGAGCCACAAACTTCATTGCAAAGACAATTTTGTCTACAACATATATTTGTCTTGCTTGCTTTTCAGCACCTCATTGCTGTCTACCAGCATGTGCAGAAGGGAAAAAGCTCGTCGCGAAAAGTGGCCTATTTGTGCAGCATTATCTCAGGCACGATGAAAGCTGGAGAGCTTAAATGTTAGTCATACAGAAGTCTGCTGGGGCTGTTATGGGGACTATTCATGTTTTTGCAGAACCACCTGCAAAAAATTTTTTCCAGAAAGTTTGAAAATCGATCATTTTTTGCCCCTAAAAATGCACCATTTTTCAAGTGAGTGAGTTTGAATTCTTGTCGTTCTGCATAGGGTGGACCATATCTTCGATTAATGCGAACATTGTTGGGGTAATGCCTCACACATTTTTTGGACCTGTCATACAGGCGTGACGATCCCCGCAAAAGCGACGCCAGCTGCGAAAAAAGTTGTAGTCAAAGGCAAGTATGACAGCTTGTAAATTCTG